CTTTCCCCATTTTCCTGCAGATCAACACAGAGGGACTTTAGAGTTGATGGTGTAGCATCTAGCCAGAGTCAGGTCAGGATGCCTAGACATTTTCTCCACCTGCCCATGTCTCACCCCAGATGGTGTCAGAGCTAAGTTGGTCTCCACGTGAGCCAGAGTTGGCAGCTCTGAATCCATCTGCAGTGGGAATTTCTCCACCCCTCCTGATCCCACTGTAGATGGAGTCAGAGCTGAGCCAGTCTCTGAGGGAGCCCAGAGCACAGCAGGGAGCCGGGCTGAGCTGCTCATCCCCATCCCAGGCTGCATCCTCTCATTTGGGGAGAAAGATTGTGAGCCTGATTCAGAGCTTCTTATGTTCTTGTGGCTCATGGAGGACGGAAAAGACAACAAGAGGTGACAGAAAGGGATGAGTCAGTGACAGAATCAATGTGACCCTGAGGACCCTTCTCCCTTCCCCTTCTGTGAAGCCCCTCCCACTACTGGGGCTCTCTGGGGCTGAGGAAGCCCCACCCACTTTGGGGCAGGATCCAAGGTCTGCCATGAGAAAGCAGAGAAGCTAGAGGAGGAGAGAGTCTGCAAGGACAGGGTTGGAGGGCTCAGGGAGAGGATCTGGGGTTCGCTTGTGCCTGTGGGACACAGGGTGGGAAGGAATTTCTTCCGGACCTTTTTCTGAAAACCAACAAACTTAACCCCTGAACTCAAGACTAACTTACCAATGACTACGATATTCTTGATCGTGGCTCTACTGAGGTTGGTGGCTGAGTTACGGGCGAGGCAGATGTAGGATCCACCATCATGTTTATGGATATTTGGAATAAAGAGCACTTGTGTGGATTGCTGGGGTCTCCTGGGGAGAAACCAAAAATACTGTGCAGGTGGTTTAGAGGCTGCGTGGCAGGAGAGGCTGAGGTTTGATCCTGGAGGATAATTCGAGTCTGGGGGAGAAATGGTGGGAGGGTCCGGGCCATCTGGAACAAAGAGAATAAAGCTGCACATGATGTCATCAGAGGGAAGGGAACACTACTGGTCTGTAGAAGGGACACAGTATCCTTATGTCACTGTCTTGTTCTAAAAGTTCCCAACCATCACCCACTGTGTTCACTGAGCCTGAGTCTGAGACGTTAGCCTGTTTCTCCCATCACAGGTTGTCCACCCCGAGCCTCTAAAGACAAGAGCAGGCCCTCCCCTCCTGGCTGGGCCTGCTTGAGGTTCCCTCTGGTAGGAAGTCATGGCCAACCTGGGTAAGGGTTCATGAACTGGGTAAGGGTTCATGGCCATGTAGAATTGGGTTGGCAGCCCGGGCCATTGGAGGAGCAGAAGTTACTCACAGGAGATATCCAGAGTGATGGGGTCACTGCGGCCGGTGCTCACTGGGTTCTGAGTTTCACACCCATAGGGTCCTTTGTTGGTCCTTGTGACACTGAGTAAAGTGAGAGTCCTGTTGTCCTTGGTCAGCACTATCCTGTCACTGTCCGGGAGGCTCATACCATTTATCCACCAGCGGTAGGTTGTGTCCGGAGTCTCAGGCTCACAGGCGAGTTTTACAGAGTCCTTGTCCTCCATGGGGTGGGAGTTGTTGCTAGTGATGAAGGGTTTGGGTAATTCCGCTGTGTAGACAACAGAGAGAAGGTTTCCCTGTGTGGTACCTGTCACGGTTTGGAGTAAGACTCGGAAGACCGTCATCTCAAGGAAAAAAGGAGGGTTTATTAGGCAAAGGCACTCAGGGTGTCTGAAGCCAGATGTGCTTGTGTCCTTATGTGATAGTTTTGGGTCAGTGTGTCTTTATGGCATCTTTGAGTCCTCCCCAGGTAGCCTTCAATCAGCGGTGGCATCTCTCTTCTCAGCCACCCTGAGTCCTCAAAAGACCAAGGCAGGTGTGTGTCTCAGACAGACCCTGACGACCTGGCCCTCAGCGCACCTGAGGCCGCCTGCTGTGTGTGGAGAGCACGGACTTTCCCAGCTGTGGGATAAGCAGCCGGGTCTGGGTGTGGACGCACCGAGGACGGAGAGTCAGAGATCCCTGGGGACCTGTTCAGGTACTTCACTGAACAACTACCTGCTTGTGGTGGTGTGGATTAAGCAATCGTTTGTGGTCACGGACAGACCCTGGTTTGCCCGCCTGACCACCCTCTGGACAAGTGGGTGCTGACTCGCTTTTGGCTGCACAGTTCTACATTGACCAGCCCATGTGTTTTCTCAAGGCCTCCGTTCAGTAGATATCCTTGAGATTTGTAATGACGGGGACTCTGTGTGAGTAGAAGTAACACACAGGAGACCAGGAGCAAGACCCACACCCAGTTTAGTATTGAGGCTGAAGAGCAGGAGGTGAGGCAGCTGTGCCCAGGTGTTCGGTGGTGAATTTTGTGACCAATGACCATTGAAAACCTAGAGCAGAGTCAAAGAGTGGTCCAGAATGAGGTGAGGGGGACAAGCAGGAGTTGAGCAGAACCATGAACTTTGTTCTCTGTCCTCGGTCTTTAGTATCTTTTCTCCCACTGCCAAGAGCAGATGGGGATTGTGATGTTTCTTTATATACAGGTGGATGTTGCAAATGCAGATGAATGGACTATTGGAAAGAAGGTGAGCATGTGTGGGAAGCTGCACACCAGCGAGTCTGCCGAGGTTTCTCAGAGAGCAAACAATTACCATGATTGGTTCCCTTCCAAAAACCTGACCTTCGAAACCTTGCTCTGATTGACCACTAGAATCCCTCAAATTTGCATATCTGGCACCTCATGATTGGTCCAAAAGCAACCAATCATAACCCACCGTAAACACCCAATCAGGGCCCACCGTTAACAACCAATCAGGGCCCACCGTTTACAACCCACCAGAGTGTATATAACCACGATGCCTGGCCCACAGTAGGCAGACGACGACTGCGACCAGGAAGACGACAGCTGAAGAGCCTGAGGAGCTGAAGCGCTGCGCAGTCTCCAGACGACCCTGAAGATCCTGAGGAGCTGACACTGCATCGTCTCCAGACGAACTGGGAGACCCTGAAGAGCTGTAACACTACATCGTCTCCGGACGACCCTGAAGAGTTGTGATACCGCGTCGTCTCCGTGCTGCTCACAGTAGACGACGCGACCCTTAAGAGCTGTGACACTGCGTCGTCTCTGTGCTGTACCGTGCTGCCCACAATAAACAGACGACACTGTCGTCTCCGTGCTGTAACACTACGCTGCTTGCCCCGGCTCTCACTCCTTCACTCAGGAAACCCGTTCGGCTGTCCCCCCGGGTTGGGACAAGCATGCACTTGTGAAAATGTGGCTCTCAGGGACCACGTGTCTGGTGGTTATGACACAGAAGTTTAGGAGCAGCTGCATATCTTCCATATTTATGAAAATCACTGTCCTCAGGAGGGCCCCAGGAAAGGTCAGGTTACTATGAGGGACTCATAGATTGAAGTCCCAACTTTGAAGTTAGGGCAGGGGTCAAGTGGAGAGCCCTGGATCTAAGACTTTAGCTGAGAGGACTATTGGGTCGTCAGAAATTATGATGCATTTTTGCATAGAAAAACAGAAAAATATGTCCTGACTTTTCCGATAACTCAGTATTCCCTGTAATAGTGAGATAATGTCTTAGCCGAAGCTCTGCAACCCAGCAAGATCACGCTATGATCAAGAAAGAGGCTAAATTTGGGACCAGCAGTTAGTGTAATGGCTATGTTGCTGGACTCCCGTGTGGTCGATCTCGGTTCGCGTCCCGGACCCGGTAGCTTAAAACTCACGCTGGGCACATGTGTGTGCGTGCCCAGGATCTCGAGAGGAGAATGGAGGAGAAGGGATTGCAGCGTGGCCATCCCCCCTGGGGGGTGATTTTTCACTTTCTGTCTCTCTGTCTCTCTCTGTCTGGCGAGTGCATGCGCCCTATAGCAAAAACCTCTCCAAAAAAAAAGAGGTTAATTTGCTTTGATTTAGTGACTCTGTGTGGAGTGTCCTGTTAAGAGGACCGAACTGGTCAGAGGGTAAGTCTGCATTGTTTCAATGATATAAATGGCGAAATAAGAGCAGATTAGGAGAAAGATACATGTTTATGGTAAATTGAGAAAAGAGATCTGTGTCACTAATTCCTGTGGAGGTTCAGGCAACATGAGAAGGCTGACTCAGGAATGTGAAGTCTTTCCTTTCTTTCTTCTTGACTTCATTAAACACAACTAAAGTCTGATCAAACTTGTCAAAATAGGGCAGAGCTCCATTCTCCCGATAACCTGGGCACATCGGCTCATGACGGAGCCTGACAGGGGCAGCTGCTTCTGCTGGGTTCTGTGCCTCACTGTTGCCTGGGAGGTGGGCCTGGCCACAGGTGTTGGCAATGGGAAAGCAACCCTGACCAAACCGGGCCATGGAGGAAGTGTTTCTCATGCTGGTGTGCCTGATAGAAAGGACCGTTATTTGAAGGACTGTGGTAAAGACCACCGCAGCCTGACACAAAAACTACTTCTGTAAAAACGACTGCTCTGAGACCGACTGTCCAACCATGGACTTACGGTGCTCTTGTTTTCGATCCCAGTAGCCAAGGACAATTGTCTCTTCCTGCTCCCCTCCCACTTGTCTTTAAAAGCCTGTCCGAGGTTTATAAGTCCTGGTGAGTGCGCCTGGAGCTATCTGAAAATGTTCATCTGGGCTGCAGGCTGGTTGTAGTTCTCTGTATTTATTCTCAAGTAAACGTCTTCTCCTTTACATACTTTGACTCAGTTTACCTTCTCTTTAGGTTGGACAGGCCAGGCAGCCACTAGTGAGAATGTCTGGGGAAGGCTTGAGGGGGAGGATGCTGTGCAGAGCAGGAGAAGTCCTAACTGAAAGGGGGAGGAAGATGAGAGACGTGGCAGGAGCAGAGAGAACCAGAAGTGCCCATGGCCATGAACTGTGAGGGGTACAGTGACTTCAAAGACCCAGAGACCATGAGCCCCATAGCTGCCCCACAACCAGGACTAAGGAACATGGCCCCACAGCCCTGAGTCATACGAACAAGTGGGCAGAGGGGATGGGTCTTCAACCAGGAGGGACAGAGAAGAGGTGTGACCAGAACCTTCCAGGATCTTGCATTCAAGTCCAGCCTCTGTACAGATGGGGATCGTTCATTCATTTCCTCACCATTCATTCCTTCCTCCTTTCATCAGAGACCTGCTGACAGTCTGTCGCATATTGGGCCCTGCGCCGGCCCAGGGAGTAGAGTGGGGAGTGAAAAAGCAGAGTCCTTCTATACTCCATGGACATCAGGAAAAAACAAATTGTTTCAAGCCCAGTGAGGGAGGATGTGGATTGGCCACATGGGGGTGGCCTGGATATTCCCCACACCTACTCAGATTTACTGAGGCAGATGACTTAGTTATAGAGCAAAATGGATACATTCTCCATTTGCTTCTCACTCCCCAGACCAGAATCTCACCCTGTCCTGTGGATGTCTAAGAAGGATCTGAGCAACCAGTGATCTAGGAGCCCACAGTTCCCTAACAAGGCCCCTGGGTGGAGGAGAGGATGGGGCTACAGCCACGCTGTAGACAGACCTCAAGGACTCTGACCTGACCCCCATATTCTGTGTGACGGAATTTCCGTGTGCCTCTGTTAAAACAGGGTAAGTGTTGGGACCAGCAGCTAGCATAATAGCTATGTCACTGAACTCCCACGTAGTCAACCACAGTTCGTGTCCCGGACCTGGTGGCTTAAAACTCATGCCGGGCATGTGTGCGTGAGTGCCCAAGATCCTGAGAGAAGAACGGAGGAGAAGAGATTGTGGCGTGGCCATCCACCCTGGGGGGTGATTTCTCGCTTTCTGTCTCTCTGTCTCTCTCTCTGTCTGGCGAGTGCACGCACCCTATAGTAAAAAACCTCTCCAAAAAACCCCCAAAAAACAAAACAAACAAAAAAACAGGATAAGTGTAAATGGTACGTGGCTTACCATGTCTGTGAATTCAAGGTCAGCTGGAGGGACCTGGGACAGGAATCTGAAATGGGGTTGTCTGTGAGGATCCCAGGGGACCCCAGGACAAGTCCTGACTGAATCCTGAAGAGTCTTTCTCAGAGTCAGGTTCACAGGGCGAGTTTGGGGAACTGGACTAAGACTGATCTTCAGCTTAGTTACCCTACCAGACCAATATTCTCTGCTGTTAATGTCTGCATGGCCAGGATTCTAGGAAGGGAATTCTAGTGTTTGAAAACTGGTCCCTGCAGTGTGTGTCCTGCACTAAGTGCTCAAACCCCAACATGGGGAGGACATGCAGAGGGGGCTGTAGGCATAGTCCAAGCCTGATAGTCCTGCCTGTGTGAATTAGTGTGAATCCCATCCCACCCTAACACCCAGAGGTCACAGAGGAGTTACTCACAGAATACGCGGAATTGTCCAGATGCTTGGTCAGTTTCAATGCCTGTTATAGTATGTATGGTGTAGAATCCCGAGTCTTCTTGGCGGACATTACGGAGGAGCAGGGATCCATTGGAGAATATTTCCTTTCGACCGCTATATTGAGGTCCTTCAGTGACTCTTTGAGAATTCGTCTCATATTGTAAAATTAGTTGGCTCCTGTCCACCCTTTCCCCTCTGTACCATTGGTACCCACTAACATCCACTGGCACATTGTAAACACTTAGTAGAACATCCTTCCCTTGGGTGGCATTGAACGGCTCCGATTTGATAGTGAGTTGGGCAGTGATGGGCAGGTGCCAGAAGGTTAAAAGTGAGACTGGGAGGGAGAAGAGAGAAATCAGCCAATATTGGGATGGAAAGATGGGGTCCTACATCTTGAGGAGATCTCTTCAACTCAGCCTTGTTGTGTGTGTATTGTGTGTGTGTGTGTGTGTGTGTGTGTGTGTCCCCTTCAAGGGCAGCAGGGTGACCACCATTCCTCCAGTCCCTCTGAACTTGTTACTTCCTCCACGTGGAATGCTCTCCCCCTGGTGTCTGCATGGCTCAGCCCTCACTGCCCTCAGGTCCTTGCTGGGGCATCCTTGAGAACTACTCTCCCTGACCACCTCCTCTAGAGACCTTGAGTCTTCACCCTCAGACATTCTGTTCTGTGCCCTCCATGGGCCTCGTTGATCCCTGACCTCACACCCTTGATGTCCACTTGTCTGCCTCCTCCCCACTACCGGGAGAGCTCCGTGAGGACAGGGGATTGTCTGATTTTTGTTGTACTCTGGTGACAGGAACAGGCTGCAAGTATCTGGGAGTGAGTTACAAAATGTTTCCGGGCCCTGCACGTCCCAGTGTCTCTCAGTATCTGAGGGTGGGTGACATTTAGTGTCTTGATTCTGTTATTACTTGGAGTTTCACCCTCTCCAGGAAACCCCAGCCAGTCTATGTGCTCCCCTCCTCTCACCCATCCCAGGGAATCCTCCCTCTCACCTGCCAGCAGGAGCTCCTGCCAGGGAGTGCACCCCCAGTGGGGAGAAGTTGAGGGGCGCTCCATGGCCCTGCTGCCTGTGCTGTCCTCCGTCTGTGGGAAGAGCTTCATCTTCAGAGACACTCCCAGGCTGCTGCTGTGCAGGGGCCGCTCTGCTGTGCTTCCTCCCTCTGTGCTGAGCCTCCTCCCAGGGGCAGGAGCACTTCCCAGGGTCATGTGGGCTGGGGGTGGGGCCTGCACAGGAGGCCTCCCTGTGAGTCCTGCCTCCTTCTTCTTTCCCTTTTTCCTCTGTCTACAATTCTCTTTGTTGGGTCCCCCTGTCCTCTGAGAGGAAGACTCTCTCACCCATTGCTGATCCTGCCTATGTTCTGGTCTTTGGGCTGTCTACACAGAGAATCCCTGGAGTCCTTAAATTTGGTGCATTATTTTCTCTGTGACACAGAAACCTATCTGGGTATGGAGGGTCTTCCTAGTGTTCTCAAATGTCTGCGAAGCAACGAGATCACTGAGATGGCCTGCAGGGGCCAGAAATGGACAGTGCTGACTGGTAAGAGGGACCCATACATGTGTAGGTCTAATATTGGACTCTGTTCTGTTTCATTGATCCATTAGTCTATTTTAAACTTACATAACACTCTCTTGATTACTATATAGTATGTCTTGAAGTGAGTTAATGTTAGTTTTTCAGAGTGGTTTTTGGCTATTCTTTGTATTTGCCTATGAATTTTAGAACGATCTTGTCAAATCATTTCTTAATAAAAAGGCTGGTTTAATATTGATAGAGATTGCATGAGTCTGTAAATCAATTTAGGGATGATGGACATCTCTTCAAGTAGCATTTATTTTTTAAACATTAATATATGCATTATGGGAAAATGAAAAACACAAGGAGGAAAGAATGAAGTCATTCATGCCATAGGCAATTTACAGGTGGGTGTGTTCTAGGTCCTGTCCTGTGCATATACCCAGCGTCCAGCCATAAATGGTTGAGACTGTACAGAACAGTGTATATCATGCTTATGATCATGAATATGTACCAGTTCAAAGTCCCAAAGCTCTATTTTGATAACCACGGACATTCTAAGCCAACTTAATCTGTTAGGAAAAAAAAAAATGTAATCCTACCTTTCTTGGGGACAAAAATTTCACAGAAGACAAAATTGGCAACCAGCTTCTAGGAAAAAAGTATCGGCGATTATGATTAGAATATTGAATTTCTTTAATGCTCAATTTAAAATAAGACTTAAAGCAACAGGGTTCTCTTAAATATAATGTTTGTAAGAGAATTTATTATTAGCTCTATACTCTTAAAATATTACCAAGATGTTTCCATTCAATTACTCAATGCATTCCCAAAGCACAGCCAAAAGAGACCACACATACATCAATAGCTATCCTCCAAGTGGAAATAGGAGCACATCTGCATCCATCTCTTCCTTTATACTTCCTCTGCCCCTCTGCTGCCACCCTAAGGAACAAGTCTACACTGCTCAGAGTGGCTCAACAATTCCATGTCCAAGATGTTTTATTTCTATCAGTTGTAACAAAGATATAAACTTCCTCTACTTTTTATCATACATTTGTCATTTCTGTATACCTAGAAAGCTTAGATGTTACAAAATCATCTTTGTCCATAATAAACAGATACTTGGGCCAGCTGATGATGTGGTGGTTAAGGTAGTTGGATCTGACATGGCCCACTTACCAGTTTGAAACCCAGACCCGGCAGTTTGAGAAACACGCTGAGCAAGTGTGTGTATGTGCCCAAAATCTTGAGAGGAGAATGGAGAAAGGATTGCAACATGACCATCCCCTCTGGGATCATTGAAATTCTTAATGCTTACTGAACCTTTTGCTTTAAGGAAGAAACTTCTTTTTATAAATCTGAACTCATAATCTCTTTCTGTGGATAATCACGTTGCAAAACACAATAGAAGAGAGATTTTGTCATAGAATGACCAGAAACCACCACAGAGGCACAAGAAATATGAAAAATCAAGAAAATATCTCTCCCCTAAGTGAAAAGAAAAATCTTTCATCATCCACAGACCGCACAGTGGAACTCCTGGAGATGTCTGATAGACAATTCAGAATATTCACAGTGACAAAACTAAACAAGATACAAGAACTGAGACACAATGAACTCCAAAAGATGCAGAAGAAAAGAGATGAGTTCCAAGAAGTGAGGAAGTTCTTGCACGATCTGAAAGAGGAAATACACACTATAAAAAAGAATCAAATGGAGCTGTTAGAGATGAAGGCTGCAATACAAGAAATCAAAACCTCCATCGGAAAGTATTAAAAACAGATTAGACCATGCAGAAAATTGAATTTCAGATGTTGAAGGGAAAAACCTTTGACCTATAAAAAACAACCAAAAAGAAAAAAAAAAGGAGAAAAAAAAAACCAACAGAAAATATGAGAATACTATACAAGAAATGCTAGATACCATTAAGTGCCCAAACATTGAGATAATCAGTATCCCAGAATGTGAAGAAACTAATAAGAGCATTGACAATCTATTTCATGAGATCCTGGAAGAAAACTTTTCAAATCTATAGAGACATTCAAATATCCAGACCCAAGAAATACAAAGGATCCCTAATATAATCAACCCAAGAAGATCTTCTCCAAGGTACATCATAGCCAGATATGGCAAAATCCAGACAAAGACAAGATATTAAAATGGCAAGAGAGAAATGTCAGGTTACTTATGAAGGTTATCCCATCAGGCTAACCTCAGACCTCTCATCAGAAACAATGTGAGAAAGGAAAGAATGGGAAAATATAGTTAAAGTGTTAAGTGAGAAACAGTTTCAACCAAGAATACTATACCCAGCAAGATTATCCTTCATCTGAGAAGAAAAGATAAAAACATTCTCAGATAAACAAAACCTGAAAGAACTGACCAGCTCTTCAAGAAGTTCTGAAAGGAGTGCTTTACCAGGAAAACCGAAGATACACATGCAGAAATAAGAGAACAAAAAGCAACCAAGAAAATGACCAACTTAATGCTAGGGACAAGAAATATCAATA